GATTACAGTCTGGATTATAATAAAATATTATAATAATATAGAAATTCTTTTTATTTTTAAGTATCTTTGATACTTCTAATGTGTCAAATGTAATGTATAATGTTTTAACTACTTTGCGATTTATAAAAATTTAAAATTTAGAAATATATTGTATAAAATTTTAATTTACGCGCGGATTTGAATAAATAAGGAATTATCTTTTTCTAGCCAATTAGAAAACAATCTTTTATAATTGGTGACTAGATAAAATGGTAGTACCAGTTTGCTGTTGGAAATTGTGAGTAAAAGTTACGTTTCGTCTTCAAAAGTGCATAATTGTGAATAATTGTGTCAATTTTTATTAATATTTTATTTAATAAGATATTGTTTTATAATTTAAAAATTATTAGTAGTTTTGTTTAATTAATATGCATTTGTTCATCATTATTATATTAAAATTAAATAATGTTTTGAACTTTTTTCTTTGTTTCATATTGTTTATTTGATTATTGTTTATTTAATTATTGCTAGTTTGTATAAATTTTTAAATCAAGATTTGATAATAAATATAATTGTAATTTTATATATTATATACAGTTTTGATTTTTATTTTTTACAAATTGTGTTTTTTATAAATCAATTGAAGATATTGATAAATTTATAATTTGTATACATTTTGATATTAAAAAACAATCCAAAGACTTTCATATAAATGTAGCGAGATCTTATTTATTTTAATAAAATATGTAGATATTATTTGCATAAAAATGAAAGTTAGATTATAAATTAGATAATTTATTCTATTTCATATATATATATATATATTTTTAAATAAACAGTCAATGTGTTTAATTCATATTTCTATATTTGTTTTAATATTACGCTCAAAATTAAAAATGAAATTTCGTATAATATTTCTCTAGGAAATTGACAATTTACATTCGTGCCGTACGAATTTGTTCGACATGTTGCGATTTGTCGAACTGTCAAACACTCTCTCTTCCCCCCTCCAAATTTGTAATTCGATACATCGAAATTGTGACGCGAGGTGTCATTATATTACTGAAAATCGGATGCTTCTTTTCAGGTGAGTGATCTATCTATTACGTAATATTTATTCCATAGTTATTCTTTTATTTTTTTTATACTATATATTATTTAATTTATACACGTTTGTTCAATAATCTATTAAATATTATTATAATTGATAATTTTTTAAAGAATAATTTTTTCTTTTTTTCTTTATTCTCCTTATTCTTCATTTGATTGTTACAATAATTACGATCATATAGTAAACTAATTATGCTTCTAAGATGAAATTTGATTTTTATTTTAAATTTGTTTCATTTTAACGCAATTCTAATTTTGTATATTTTATAAATTTATTTTGAAAATTTGATTATTATCTTATGTATCAGATTAATAACTGACTGTTGAAATAATTTTCTTGGCGGGAAAAAGGATTTCAATATGGATGCTGAAATGATCATTAACATAACAACCAATCTATGGTTTTTCACGGAAATATGGTAATATTTTTTGTATTTAATTATTTATTGGATAAAAATTATATATTTAAGTTTATAATACATGAAAAACTTTTAAATCTGTAAACTATCAAATCCTCGATTTACGATAGCTATTTTCACATCCTTATTCCTACTTTATGTAACACTTATTCTCTAATATATATTACGAAAAACATTATTTTGTTAATAAGTAAATCAAATTAGATTTTATAACTAAGAAGGATATTTTATAACTAGTTAGTAAGTTGACTTGATTAAATAGAGTATTTTTAATTAAAGTAGCATGCATAAATAGATATTTTGCAGGAAATACTTATTAAATGAAATGTATTTATAATTAAGTGCATAATTTGATGCTAATTAAATAATGGTTAATGCAGTATAGACAATTAATGGTAATATAATCCTTTGTGGAATGCTTACTTCGTTTATTTTTTTTCTTTCTTATGCTACTTAATTATCAATTATTTTTCATTTTCATGAGAATGAAAATGCAAAATATTAATACGAAGTCATGCATGTTAATCTACATTTATTTTATTTTCAGATTCATTTAGTCTTCCGCGTTGGTTTTCTTTTTTTGTTTTATACAACAATCAAAAATTTGAACGTTTTGCAAATGTATATTAAAAGTAGAATTTCTTTGAGAACGAATAAATTTTTGCGTAAAAGGAGAATAGACATGGTAGTTAAGACGAGTCTCCAATTCGCAGAAATCTCCAGGTGAGACTTGGGCAATCATTATTTGATATAATTATAATTATTACATAGTTATATAATATGGTTAATTGATTGGCTGCAAACTTAATTGTGACCATTATATTTTTATATAGTTAAAAAATTTATTAAAATGATGATAACATTTTCATTTCGATTCTCGAAAATTAAAAAGTGAAAATATAAGTTTTTAATTCCTAGTTTTTGAATAATTTAGAAATTCTGGTTTAAAATTTTTGAATTCATAAATAAAGAGAATAATATTATTCTTTCGAGTGATAAAAATTTGTTTATGCCATTAAAAAATTGAAAGAAATTAAGAAGGAAATAACTTTCGTTTATTTTCTCCTTTCAAATAAGGATTTTGTAATGATTTATATAATACTGCGTCTATGTTAACATTTTTTTTTTTTTGTAAATTTTATATACTATAATAATAATAATAAAATTGATCCACATCGACTTTGGTTACCAACTGAAATAAGATTGCAGATATTAATAGTTCTTATATTTATCGTTTCGAATCATAGAGGACTCTGATTTCTTGTACAATTGGTAGTGTAGGAGACGAAACATGAAATATCTTGTTGAAATAGTAAATCTATTTTGTATTTTATCTATGCTTTATCATATTTATTCTGCATTTTAATAGTTTTACATATTTTAATAGTAAATTTTTCAGAATTTTTGAACAATTCGATCCAATTAATGTATTGTGAATCAATCAAATTAAAGTTTGCCTTATTTATATCTTAATCGTATTTTAGATATATTAGAAGATATTTCAATTTCAATTATAAGAACTTTAAAATATAAATAATATATAAAATAAAAAATTGTATATATGTTTATGTTTGAATTTTTATAATTACATTACATATTGTTACATTATATTATATTCAGTAACTTAGTATAAAAATAATAATAATAATTTTTCATAAACCTATTATCATTTTCATAATTATTTAATTACATAAGTATGCGAAAATTATAAAAATATATATGAAAATATTAGATGAAATATTAATGAATTTTTAAATATAAAAAAATATTAAATTTAAAAGTAAATAAGAAATACTAATTATAAAAATATAGAAATGATAAAAAATTCTTTTAAAATAATTTAATTTCGATTGAAACCGTAAGATGGCATTATCTATGAGTATCTACAGTGCCATCTGACGGCGAAAATTAAATATTACAGTGAGTTAAAAAGATTTTCCAATCCCCTCTGTTGTAGAGAATTTCACTCGATCGCACTCCTGGTTCGGTCGCAGTATAGTGTTTGACGCGCAGTCGAAGAAGGCCAGTCGAAGCGGAGCATAAGAGCAAACGTCGGGTGGACAATGAATCGCGCGATGTTCTCCAATATAGCGGTATAATGTGAATAGTGATAAATCGACGTGATATGGTGCATAATCGGATTGTAAACGCGCGCGGTAATGTGGATAAAAAGTAAAAAAGCTAAGAAAAAAGTGCAGTGACTCTACGTTTGATTGGCAGTGCACGCAGAGCGGCCCTTCGTGTACATACACATGTAAGTAATATATATATATATATATATACACACATGATCCTATACACAAAAGACTCACACGACAACTCTTTCTCGTCGTCTCTCTCGTCTTTCTCTCTTTCTCCCTGCATTCCTGCAGTAGCTTGCACGTACTTGCATTTTTTTTTTCTCTCGTTTTACATGAGATTTACGACCGCGCCCCCTTCGACTTGATGCATCTTCAACACTTTTCCAACTTGCTAGAAATAGACAGTTGTATTGTTCGCATCAGCTTCTTTACTGGAATTCGATTCTTGCTATGCTAATCGAACCCTCTTCTCTGTTAGCAAAATAGGAAAGACGGAGAGAGAGAGAGAGAGAGAGAAAGAGAAAGAAAGAAAGAGTATTTCTCTCGATGTTTATAAGATTTTACGAATGAACATATAAAAGGTTTACGAGATACTATTCAATATAATATACGTAATAATTCATTATGACTCGCGAAAAGGAGTAATAATATTCATTTATTGTAATATATTTCCTTGTTTATTTTTCGTAATGCATACAGAACCCGAATATCCGTAGTTGATTATCAACAATTATAATTTGAAACTTTTTTCATAACACAAGTGGTAAATCCATAGAATAATCATTTTATACGTACGACTTTATACGATGAAACTGGCCGCGTTATCACGAGCGTTTCAGATTATGATAAATACTAATTCGCGTTGGAAATCTTGTAATCGCTTATCTGTCAGCTGATGACAAGTCAGCCATGTCGTAGTTGTACTAGCAATCATATCTGTGTGTCTATCATGGAAGTTTCGAATTTTTTCTCGCGTAATTTCGTTACAACTGCAAGTACTATCAAATACTAAGAATGAATACTATTCATCAGAATCGAATTGTAAGTAGATTTTAACTAACTTTAAAATATTGATTTAACTTCTTTTTTATAATAACCTATGACGGTTTTATACGTTAGATGAAAAAAAATTTATAAATATTTCTCGCTCGTGTTATATCACATAGTAATTATTTTTATTATCGAATGCATTATATTTTTTTATACATATATATATATATATATATATATATATATATTATCAAGAATATGG